CTAATTCTCCGACACCCATTTGGGTATGCAGGGTAAACTAATTCCTCGACACCCATCTGGGTCTACTCTTCAGTGTGAAAGGATAAACTAATTGCTTTCCAGTGTGAGAGGGTAAACTAATTCCCCGACACCCATCTGGGTTTGCTTTCCAATGTGAAAGGATAATTACTCTTTAGTGTGAGAATGCTACACAGCTCAAAAGATCGAATACTTAAAGACCAGCTAAGGAACAAATGGTCAGGGGCATCAGCCACTTCGTACTCAACAGTTCGCTTATCTGACACTTTATCTTCAACTCTGATCTTGGCAACTCTGTCCTTGATTGCTCCATCTATAACCGTTGAGAAATCAAACTCAAGTAGTTTCCTCATTATTGGCAAGCAGCCTAGACGTGACAGCCCAAATCGTGGCTCATACCACGCCACTTCCTCGCCCCATGCCGAGCCAGCCCTTGGCTTCAGTTAAGTCGAGCAGCACAAGTTATGGCCCCTGCCACACCATTTTCTCGGCCCATGCCAAGCTGACTCCTAGCCCTTGCCAACCGACATGTTGCACCACCCTGACGGCTGCACCATGGCAGCACCACCCAAGAAGAAGACAAAGAAAATTAAGTTTTCTTACATTGGTGCGGCGCGGAGAAGACAAGGAAATCAACAAAAGAGAGTTCTTTGCACGGGCAAACAAAGAAGAGTGCTAGGGGATGGGGAACAAATCTCCTTTAGTTTTCTCTCTTTCTTGTAGGGATAAATAATTGCCTTCCAAAGTTGATTTAATCCCCTATGTAAGGTAGGGTTAAATAGGCTTTGGAGGTAATTTATTTCCTTTTCCTAGAAGAATATAATTCCAAGTCTAAGTAGGAATCTACATCAAAGTTTGAGATCTCTACACCTGCTGCCATTTCCTTCGAGCAGCCCAGCAGGTGTGGGGGCATTTGTGGAGCAAAAAATAATCAAGAAAATTATGAAGGTGACATGTGGACTTTAGGGTGAGGAGGACAAAATTACCCTTGAGGCACACCGGGATTCCCACGCGCATACAACGGATAATAATAGCTCAATCAAGGAAGAGTTAAAGGTGATCAAAATGGTATTTATTCAAAACCATCTAATCACTCCTCATCAAATCCTCACTCAAAAGGTAACTTCCAATTTTCCGATTCAATTTGGAATTAATTGCCAAGTTAATTGTAAGAAATTATTTCAAATAATATCTTGCAATTACACTCACAATTTGACCATATGTGGCTGGCCCCTTTTCTCCAAATAGGGCCAGTCACTTCCCTATAAATAGCCATGTTTTCTCACTAAAATGTTAAGCCATTATCTACCCAAAAATTCCTAAACACTTTCTCTCTCAAATTCTAACTTTGGCATTGAAAATTGTTCAGTCAAAGCCCCCCCCCAACAAAAAAAAAACAAAAATCATCGTGGACGCGTGAGGCCCTTAATCTTAGGTGTTATTATTTTGCAGGTGCATTTTCGTCAAAGGAGAAGATGGTTGCATCCACATGTTAGACAACATACGCATCAATGCTTCATTAGTCTAATATCAAACCATTAATTTAACAACAACAACAAATAAAAAGATTAATTATTAGGCTAACCAATAGATGCATCAAGACACAAAACCATGGCCTCCAATATTGACATATGTACAACAACAATTCTAGCTCAAAATCAATTTTACATGTGCATGTATGCGTTCATATACTCACAAATTTCAACAACCCCTTGATCTTTTGCAGAAAGATGGTTTAGATAGAACATGATTTTCCCCCTTTTCAAAATTGCAATGGTCAAATAATTTTGAAAACAACACTACCTAATCTTTTACATAAAGACGTCCTCTCTATTATTTCTTCAAAACCTTAAAAAATTCTTTTGCAAACCATAGTCGATTCCCACTAAACCATCACGTCGATTACTACTTCAATTTAATACTTTCAATCTGAATTCAATGGCAAAAATCTTAGGCTCTGAAACCACATGTAAGACTATTATAAAAAACACAAGTTAAGAGATTAAGCGCATGAACCACAATTTATACAAGTATTAAAATCACAATCTGATAAACACAATAACAAACTAACCCATAGAAGCAGTAGACGAAGAAGACCAAGCAGACTTCTAAACAATGCACATTCTCCTCTCTTGCAAAACCAAAAGTACTCAAACTAACAGTAGGTCTTAGTTCAAATTAAGCGTATGTTTTGTGAGAGCAGAGACCAGTATTTATATTGAAACAATCCTTGTGATTTCCTTATTAAAATCAGCGTAGGAAACAAACACACAATTCCAATCCAACTATGAGTACTAAGTATCACGATTTAATTAAAGCTTCAATCCTAAACTGATTAGGACAACTTAAAACTCTACAATTCAAGACCTTTCCATACCAATTGAAACACCTATAGCCAGTTTCTAGCACTCACAGTCATACTCATATTCTAACATGGATTAGTAAGCTACCTGACGACGTTCTAATTAGCATTCTTTCCTTATTGAGTATTAGGGAAGCAACAAGAAGTAAGAACTTGTAATATCCTCTCTAAAAGAGGTCGATCAATTTGTACAACTGCAAACATTTTACGTATCTCAAATTCGATGGTGTAGATTTCTCTAAATCCTAAATTTACTACACCAATTAAACTACTCTTTGGACATAAAAAAAAAAAAACTATTACAACAATTTTTACACACTTTAAGTGAATTATTCAGTATTTAAAGTAGCAAAATATGACAAAATCTCCGAAGTGTCTTGACTTGTCCTAAAATTATTGAAATGGCCATTCATGTGAGTGGCACTTCAGTTAACTAAATGAATGAAAAATGTGACGTGTCCTTGAATTGAATCATTTTTAAAACAACAAGGACTAAAATTGAGAAAATTGAAACCATGAAATGTGAACTTTAGCTTTTATCTTTACATATAAAGGGAGCTTCATAAAATAATGAAACATTCAATGTAACATCCCACATCGCCCAGGAGAGTGATCCTTATATGTATATTCTTATCCTTACCTAGCACGAGGTCTTTTGGGAGCTCACTGGCTTCGGGTTCCATCGGAACTCCGAAGTTAAGCGAGTAGCACGCGAGAGCAATCCCATGATGGGTGACCCACTGAGAAGTTGCTCGTGAGTTCCCAGAAACAAAACCGTGTGGAGCGAGCCTGGGAAGTGGTCCACCCTGGGCCAATTGTCACATCCTGGCCCGGGGCGGGACCACTTCTCGGGCCTGACTCCACCGTAGCACGATATTGTCCGTTTTGGGCCCCTAGCACACCCTCACAATTTTGTTTCTGGGAACTCACACGAGAACTTCCTAGTGGGTCACCTATCTTGGGAATGCTCTCGCGTGCTACTCGCTTAACTTCGGAATTCCGATGGAACCCGAAGCCAATGAGCTCCCAAAAGGCCTCGTGCTAGGTAGGGATGAGAATATACATGTAAGGATCACTCCCCTGGGCGATGTGGGATGTTACATTCAAAATACCATAAATTATCTTACAACAAATCTAAAATTACATTACATTGACTAAAAGAGTTTAATTAACAACACATTTTAAAATTTTAATGAATTTTAAAATGTAAAAGCTTCGGAAAAATAAAACACAACACCCCCCCCTCCCCCCCCCCCCCCCAACCACCACAATAGTGGATGGTTTATGATTAACTTGCATTTTCTTTTTAAATTATTTATTTGAAAAATAAATCTCTACTAATTAATAACACTCATTGTCAACCAAAATTCTATGAAATTACCAGTTCAACCCTCTAATTAAAACAAAACATGAATAAGAAATATGGGGCAGAAATGTAGTTTCACACAACCAAATTTTGCTTTTTCTTTTTCAAAGCCTCACCTACATGTAATTTTAACATATCTCTAATTAAAAAAAAACTTCTCACTCCCACATTGTCTATCTATCACTCTCTTCCTCTCTCCTTCTATTTCAAAGACAAAAATAAAAAAATTCTCACACACTTTGTGTGTGCCCATATGCTAGTATAAATAAATAAAAAAATTAATTTCCAAATTCTTTTTTTTTTTTTTCAAATCATAAAAAACTGAATTTAAAAACAAAGGCTAGTTTAACAGAATCTGTAAAAAAAAAAAAAAAAAGAAGCTAAAATAATTTTTTTTGGTGAACAACACCCAAGAATTTTCATAGTGCAGCTATTGCATTGAATACAAAGAAAAGAAAATGTAAATGACACCTATTTTTTTTATTTTGCACATTTTATTCAATTATAGCGTGCCTAAATCATTTTTTCCCGGAAAAAAAAAAATTCATTTCTCAAAAATATAAAATTCCCCAGAAGCTTTGTCCACTATTGGATCATGAAATCAGCTGAGAAGAAGATGTCGAAGTCAAGGGCGCGGCTTCATGCTAGAAAGATTCCTTCACTATGCCTATGGCCCACCGACCAATACAAGGCAATAAAGAAGATCTTTGAAAAACCAAGAGGGGACAAGAAAATTAGGACCCATCATCTCTGCAACATAAGAATTTTGAAACCAAAAACAAAAAACAAACTGTTAATTGCCATTCAAAAATAATTTCGAAAAATAAAAAAATAAAAATTGTCAAATAATAGAATTATTAAACTAAATTAATCTTAGCTATAGCCTATATGTGAAGAATTCAAATTTTGAGCCGAACATGAAACACACTGCTCTAACTAATTCAGCTAAACTAACCATCACATAATGAATTAGTAATTGAAAACGAATTTCAGACTCGTATTCCACATGACACATCCTTAGTTCGATTCTTTTTATTAGTAAATCACACGACAATGATCAGAAGAAACTGAAATATTTCTATGAATCTTCCTGATTCTTGAAATGGTGGACTTCTGTGACGAATCCACTTACTAGACCTCTTTTTTAGCTAAACCAATCTTGGAAGAAAATAAAAACTTGCTGGTAAGCAAACAAATCAATCGCCATTATGAGCGGGAATAAGGGACAGCTCGATTTCAAAGTCCAACCATAAATAATAAATAAATCGTGAACAAAATTACCCTTTCAAAATTTGAATGGAAAGAAAGAAAAAGCTGAAGAAATAAAAAAGTGGAAGTTTGAGGTTTCTGTTTCTGCAGCTCAATCACTATCTTCTCTCTCGATCTTCTCGGAGCTTGATATCCACAAAGAAACACATGCTCTTCACTTGTTTAATATATATAATTCTGAGAGTACCAAAGTTTAATATATATAATTCTGAGAGTACCAAAATTGGTAAAAGTAGAAAACAAGAAATAGAAACCCAACCCATCCCACACATTCTGCAGAGATTTTTGCATGCTTTTTTGTTTATTTATTACTGTTCATGATTGTTATTGCTGGCCTGTAAAATCTTCAGTTTGAAGTTTGAATCTTTACATTTACTTACTACCACTGGCTGTTTGGCTGGCTGGCTTCCATCTAACTGTTGAGGTTGTTGTGTTCTCCAGTCAAGGGTAATTTAATCTGGGTCTTCCTCCTTTTATTCTTTCTAAGTTGAATTTTAGTACTTCAAAATTTTTGATAATTTTTTGAATTTGAGTGTCTGGGTTGCTCTTAAATTGGAGCTTTTGTGTTGGATATTTTGGTTTTTTTTCCCCTTTGTTTTCTGATGCAAGCACTGTTCCATTCATGCAATTTTGGCTTCTGAAACTGGGTATTCTGCAAAATTTCATCAATTTATCAATTGGGTTGTTCTTCTTTTTTGATTTCGAGAATTGGGTTGTTCTTGTTTTGTGATTTCAGGAATTGGGTCTTTAGTGATTGCACATTGTCATGGTTTTATCACTATTTCAGAAGCAATTGATCGAGTTGGATGTGATGCTGTTGGAGCTGCAAATCGTTGAGTCTTCAGAGCGAGCGAGTCTGCAGATCCATTTTGTTTTGATTCTTATATAGTGTGATAATATTTTGGGTTAGATGTTTTTTGGAGTGGATTTGAAGCAAAGGTGAGAGAATGCGACAAGCCAAGTCTTTCTTTTTTTGCTTAAATGCTTTAGATTTGGTGGAAAGAATACTGCTTCCTGAATTTGAAAGGCTTTGCTGTATTAGTTGGAGTTATAGTTGTGCAGCAACAATCTCTAAGGATTTCGTTGTTGGCTAAATATTTAAGGCTTTCATCTTCTGTTTCGTGCAACTTTGAAGAGGATTCGAGGTGGGTTTCTGATGACTGTCTGTAAAATTGTAATTGCGTGTTGTAGATGAACACATTGTGATGTGCTAGTTGGGGAGTTGGAGAATCGAACCGTAGATGGAGCGCAAGTGGTTGTGGAAGAAGAAGTCTTCTGAGAAGAGCTCTGGAGAAACTGACAGTTCAGGTTCAGTATCTTCACACTCCGAGAGGTACTCCGATGAACAGGTAGGTAGCTGAACCCTGAGTCACACAAAATTTGAGTTCAATTTTAATTCTGGAAAGCTTGCATACATTTGCTCTCATGGAATTTAACTCAGTAATTAACCTAAATTGTCCTCAATTTTACATAAACTGCTTGCCCACTTTATTTGGATTCTTTTCTTTCCGGTAAATTTTCCTTATGTGCATGTGTTCATGAAATTTTTTTGCTACTCCCAAAAATGTAGCCATTAAGGCACCCATATTCCACATAAAGCCTTGCCTTCCTTCAAAAGTTGAAGGTTGCATTTACAGTGGAAGTTTTCTGTCCATTTCTTTGTTATATGGATTGACTCAATGATGTGAGGAGAGAAATAATGTCGTGTAACTACTGTTTCTCATCCCCATGCTGATTGCTTTCCCTTCCTACATCTTTTTTTCTCGTTTTTGAAACATATTTCCAGAACATAGTAATATGCACCTATATATCTAGCGAGTTGGTCTCATAGAAAGGCTTATGACCTATATGCTTCCTCCCTCCTGCTTTTTTGTTGTCTTCCTTGCCTTGATATGGTATGGATGCCATGCCTTAGCTTAAGTGGCAGATACTTGACGCCAAATGAGTTTTATAACATGTGTAAAATTTTGGTACTCTTGAAATTCCCTTTTTTTAACAACGGCATAGAAAGCGAAGTTTGGCTGAATAATGAACTGTGATACCCAAACAGGCTGGGTTGAGTACACAGGGTGTGTGGTAGTTATCTGGTTGACTAGATTTGAGGCATCATATTGGAGAATATAGAGTGTAGTTTATAATTTATGGGTCCTACTTTTGGATTTATTACCCATACTGACCCCTCCTATGGTGGTTAAACGCTGAATAATTCCTACCATTGGAGGACACCTTGCAGGCTCCAAAGGAAGATGAATCGTAGCTTTTAGTGTGGCTGTGCATGTATACAAACTAATAGCAGTGACTTTGATTTAACCAATTATAAGATTTGAAGTTTTCTTAGTGGTCTGTATTATTTTCTTTCCTGTTGTTAAGATAAACCTTTTGGTGCATTTACAAGGCTCCCAATTAGGTGAGTTTTGTTGTTCATGCAATCCGAACTATGATTTTATGCATGTTTAACTATGGTTAAATATCTTATGGCATCATTCTAACAGGAGGCACTAAAGGCATCTCCGAATCATGATGCTCAATCACCTGAAGTCACATCAAAAGCTGCATCCAGTGCTGACGATGTTAGTGATAGTCTGAAGAGTCTAACAGCGAGATTATCAGCTGCTCTTGTGAATGTTAGTGCCAAAGAAGACTTGGTGAAGCAGCATGCCAAAGTTGCTGAAGAAGCTGTTGCAGGTAATAGTCATATAACATATTAGTACTGCCAATTTCTTTTTTACTTTTTACACGTATAGTTTTATCTACGTAATGATTAGGATGAGATTTAAACATTTCTGAAATTCCTACCGGCAATGGATTTGTACTAATATTCTTTCCAAATTAAAAAGAACATGTGAATTGGAGAAGTCTGTACGATAAGTTTAGCCAAATCTCAACCATGGTCTATATTTTTTATTTTCTAAATGATTTAATAAAATTGTCATCTTTTTCTATCTTAAACCATTCTGTGTTTCATGTCATTATAGGCTGGGAAAAGGCTGAAAATGAGGCCGCTGTTTTTAAGTCAGAACTTGAAGCTACAATTCAGCAAAACTTGGCTCTGGAAGATCGGGTAAGCCATCTTGATGGGGCCCTCAAGGAATGCGTTAGACAGCTTAGACAAGCGAGAGAGGAGCAGGAACAAACCGTACAGGAAGCTGTGCTGAAGAAAACCCGTGATTGGGAGTCCACCAAATTGAAGCTTGAAAGTCTGATTGTTGAGCTCCAGAGAAATGCAGAAGCGAATAAAGCTGAAGCTTCTGCTTTTGTCGATCCTCATCTTTCTCATAAGTTGCAATCTTTAAAAAAAGAAAACTCGGCCCTGAAGCATCAGCTACTGTCTCAAGCAGAGGAGTTGGAAATCATGACGATTGAGAGGGACTTGAGTGCTCAAGCAGCTGAAACAGCCAGTAAGCAACATTTAGAGAGTATAAAGAAGGTTGCAAAGCTTGAAGCTGAGTGCCGTAGGCTAAAAGCTTTGGGTAGCAAAACACCTGTTGTCAATGATCACAAGTCCAGTGCTGCTTCTTCAATTTATGTGGAGTCTTGCATGGATAGTCAATCAGACAGTGGAGAGCGGCTAAACATGATGGAGATAGATTCTCAAAAAATGATTGGCTCTGAGGCAAACAAGCGTGACCTGACTTTCTCTGACTCTTGGGCTTCGGCTCTGGTTGCTGAGCTTGATCAACTCAATAACGAAAAGGCTGTAAGCAGAAATTTGCCTGCTCCTTCCATTGATATTGATCTCATGGAAGATTTTCTTGAGATGGAACGACTTGCTTCGTTGCCACAGACTGGGAATGGAACTAGTTGTCTGGAATCAGAAGCCATAGTTAATCAAACCAATAATGAAGAACGTGCCTTGAGAGCTGAACTTGAAGCCATGAGCCATCGGACAGCCGAACTTGAGGACAAGTTAGAAAAGTTGCAAGTAGAGAAAGAAAGATTAGAGGTAGAGAATGCTGAACTTGAAGCTATGAGTCATCAGGCAGCCGAATTAGAGGACATGTTAGAAAAGATGGAAGTCGAGAGAGAAAATTTGGAAGTAGAGAACGCTGAACTAAAAACTGCTTTAGCCAAAAGTCAAGAATGTTATGTGGCAGCAGAGTTTCAGCTTAAAGAAGCAGAAATGAAGTTAGAGGAGTTACAAAAGGAGCTAAGCATTGCAAAAGAATCAAAGCAGACTATTGAGTCTCAGCTCATTAGCATGGAAGCAGAGGCGTGGACCATGTCTGCTAAGGTTGATTCTTTGGAAGCAGAGGTTCAAAGGGAGAGGGCTTTGTCTGCAGAAATTGTGGTCAAATGTCAAGATTTAGAGGAGGAGCTATCAAGAAAAAACGAAGAAGTCAAGTTTCAAAAAACTGCTTGCTCGAATGGTGAATTGAAGAGAAAGCAGGTTGGTGATCAAGTACTTAAATTATCTACATAAGATGCGAAGTTATTCATTATTCAAACCATTTATCAAGTAAAAGCTAGTTAATGTGCCAGTCCTAAAATTTAATGTTGTGGCGACTTGTTACCAGGAAGACCTAGCTGTAGCAGCTGGAAAGCTTGCCGATTGCCAGAAGACAATAGCGTCTCTAGGAAATCAGCTCAAATCTCTAGCGACGCTAGAAGATTTTCTGATAGACTCCGGAAGCCTCCCAGGGTTCACTGCCGTTGCACCACAGGTTCCTAAAGCTGATGAAAATTGGAAGTTGCATTCCAATGTAACATATTCACCTAAAAGAGATTCTGTGTCAAAACCAGCTGATGAGAGTTCTGGTCCATCAGGTAAACAGGAGTCGAAATGAGGACAACTCCCCACCATCTTCATCTTCGTCAACCTCATCCACTGTGTTGTCGACTCATGTCAGCTCTGAGAAGAACCGAAATGGGTTCGCAAAGTTCTTCTCCCGAACCAAGAGTGGGATACGACTAGAAATTTAGGTGAGATTAATTCTTTAGTAGAGAACGAGAAACGTCATTGGTTTCCGGGGTTTGTATTACAAGGAACTTAGTGATTCACTTGATCGATCAAACTCTGAATCTCCTTAGAGTTTAAAATTTAAATGCTTTTTCTTCCTGTTTGTGTAATTTGGAATTTTATGGTTTTTCTATCCTTTTTTTGGGCATATTAAGTTGTGAGATTATGCAAAAATAAATGAATTAATTCTGGACACCCAAGTCGTCGGAAAATTTTTAGTTGTGCCGGGTACACCAAATTTTTTTGGTGTACCCTCACTCATTAAAATTTTTTTGGTGTACAAAAAGTGAGGGTGCACCAAATTTTTTTGGTGCACCCTCACCATTATGAGTGAGGGTACACCAAATTTTTTTGGTGTGCCGGGTACACCGAAAAATCCCTCCAAGTCGTCGCCGTCGATGACGAAAAGTTGAAGATTACCACAGCCACTTTCCTCTTAACACAGCTAGGCAATGAAAAGTCCTACAGGGGTGGTAAACAAGGGTAAAAGGAAAGAAATTTTACCCCAAAAAAAATTGTGAAAATATAAAAGGTTAATGGGGCGAGAGAGGCTCGAACTCTCGACCTCAGGATCACTCAGAAGCTATGAGACCTACGCGCTAGCCAACTGCGCCACCGCCCCTTGTTGAAACACTTGTCGATACATAACCAACATATATGCTAAATTAGTTTTAAATTATTTATTCATCTTAATGTTAAAGCACGTAAAAAACTAAATTAGTTTTAAATTGAACTACACAGAAGCAGATCCTCTCCGGATCTAGACGTCCGCAGCCCCACAATCAAATAATCCTGGCTTTTAAAGTTTGATCTTATAGTAAAAAAACTATTGTATCTTTAAAAAAATTTCAATAAATTCTCTAGTTTTGACTAATTAAATTTAAAAAACATAATTATTTGGACATTAGGCTCTGGATGTCTAGATCCGGAGAGTATCTGCTTCCGAACTACACTGCTAGCAGGCCCGAACGACAAATTATTCATTTGTCGATTAAACAGTCTCTAAAATGTTATTATTTTATTATTCTGGTTTATAGCCATATTATATCTGGTGTTCTGATTAATCAAAAAGGGTTCTATGGTGTAGTGGTTAGCACTCTGGACTTTGAATCCAGCGACCTGGGTTCGACTCCCGGTAGGACCTCTTTTTTGTTTGTTCCTGAAGCCTTCTTTTTTTTTTTCATTTTTCATCTAAGAACAACCAAAATGGAAACGTACAACCAAATAAACTAAATAATTTGAAAAATAAAATAAACTTAAATGGAAACAATTATTTTTTTTTTTTCATTTTTTTAATCTAAGAACAACCAAATAAACTAAATAATTTGAAAGGAAAATGCCAAGAAGACTAAATTTGCAAACTAAATGATGTATCACCAATAGGAATGAACACGTTTATTGAATTTGAAAAATTAAAAAAAAAAAACTTCAATGGAAACAAACCATACTTTTCATATGCTCACATAATTTACATTGTTAATTTCTCAAAGAACAACTCATTTCTATCAATGACGACGATTTCATGTGCAAAATCAATTAAATAAAACAACAGAGACCAAAATTATTTGCAACTCTTATCTTTGGCCTTGTCATTCATGATGAGCATTAGCATGCTGAGGATTCCTCTCTCTCTTGAAAGCATGGAAGAGATCAATGCCAAGAGAAGCATTCAGAAAGTTCATTCCGAACATTCCAAACAGCGCAACTGGCAGCTCTATACCCTTTCCGAATTTGGGAGCATCGCAGAAGAGCTTGGCTGTGATGAGAATGTGAGGTGCCGTCCTTGCTAGAGTGAAGGTGACCCAATTAAGAACCCACTCTACTTTTACAATTTTGCTTGTAGCGTCACGAATGCCTGCCATCCGCCGCACTTTCCTCACATGCAGAAAGATAGAGTGCAGCTGTCGAAAGAAATATAAATATCAGAAGCAGTTTCATGTAGGTTTCACTTTATGAGTCTAAATCCCTATAAGATTTCAGATTCTTAACGTTGACATCTTCTACTACTATGCAATATGTTTATGAAATGATCACAGCGATGCGAGGCTTAGTAATAATGGACTTTATGTTTAACGACAGGGTTTGAAAGCTTGGATGAAAATCTGTACAATCTCTACTGCACCGATGGGTTCAAGTCGTCATGTCTGGGTCCAATTGGCTCACAGTTCAACCCACCAGTTTACACTTAAGGATGAATTTTCTTTACACTTGAGAAATATTATCTAACGAAGCGAAGGAAAGCCTAAGGAAAAGAAAGCTTTGAAGAAGATAGTTCAACATACCTCACAAATGAGAGTGAGAATAAGGTAATTGATGGTGACATTCCGATACAAAGCAAGAGTAAAACAAATGAGGAGAACCAGATGATGCATCAAGATGGAAGGAATCCAACCGCTATATAACCCATACTGCAGCATATCCCACTGATCATATGCAAAGTAACCGCATGAGAAGCACAAAGCTGGGTATGCCCATGGCCAAGTACGTCCAACCAACTCCGCATGCTCAAACATTCCAACCGAGCCATTTTCTAACCACCGATTAACCAAAATGAATACCACTGCAAAAAACAGACAAATTTAACTTAACATCAAATATAATAGGATTGAAGAAAGATCTGCTCAAGCTAGTTACAGAAAGAAGTTAAAAAACCGGTTAGTTGGAAATGTTTTGTAGGGGACTTGAAAATTTAGTTGGTTATGAATGTCGAAGGCTAAGTACCTTGATTTCGGAACTTGAACTCAATCGTTTTTCAAATTAGCTATTATCTATATCCTATATGCAGGCACCTGCTTCGTCCATTGCCCAAAAATCTATAACATCGCAGTTAAGAATCCATAATATACAATTCTACTTTGACAAGTATTAACCCTTTATGCATAACATGTCGTGCTCAGGAGAAGAACTTCTCTACACTCGGGAATGTCACCATGGCGTTCGGGCCAATGATACAGTGCCATTGGTCAGAGGGACCAGGACGCCATAGTGGCATCTCGGGGTTGTAGCAAAGTCTCTCTGTGCTCAGAGACCCCCAACATATCCAATCTAATCAAAGAAACAATGGCTTCCAAACCAGCCTCAATCATAAGATAAGAGAAACCTAGGCACATAGGAAACCTTAAATCCGACATCCTAAACTAACCAATTCTCCTCCGTGGCTCTGCAAATAACTAAAAGATATCTTCATATCATCACTTTCCCACCTTCTACTAATTAACTGACTTTTTAGCTTAACAAAGTTCAGAATTCAAACGTTAATTTCAGTACAAAGATTCCATTACTTTGTCTAACCTATCACTTCCGCAGAGTGTTTCAGACAAAGAAGCTAACACAATCCAGAAAAAAAGTTCAAAAAGCGAAAGTTATAGAGAGAGAAACCTGAAGCGGAGGTTATGGAGGAGTGGAGGAGCGAAACGGAGGTGTTGACGAAGAGAGGGTCACGGGAGACGAAACTGCGGACAACCCAGTTGGCCAATTGGTAAAAGAAGCAGCCGGCAACAACGGCGAGCAGCTCCGAGCGCCGGTGGAAGAGTATTTCGAACAGAACGGAGACGAACCAGAGCACCAGAGTGGCTAGGAAGAAGGGCCCCGCCTTGTCCTCTTTCGGACATCTCGTTGTCCTGCTCATCATACTCTGTTTCTACTCTCTCTCTACAGTGAGTCCATGACAAAGGGGTAGAGGAGGAGATATTTTGGAGGGTTGTTCGTCGTAGTTAAATGTGGTGGCTTGCCGCTCATGGCGGATTGGACTGGATTAATTTCGTTAATTGGAAGGCTTAGTTTGTTGGTAGACAGCTTTAGTAATGTTTGACTGATTGTCTGTCTGATTGCTTCTTTTGCCCGCAATCTAATCTTGGCCACTGTCGCCTCAGATATTTTCAATGTTTTTCTGTTTTTTTTATTAGTTTTTAGGTGGCACGTATTGAACGTCCGAAGAAGTCAGATATGCAACACCAAGGCCCATAACCGCTCACTCTCCAACACGTTTTAGCAATTGAGATTTAACTGGTTCATTTTTTCTTTGGGAAAATTTTAAAGAGAGTTTTTTTTAAAATCATGTTTTGTAGATCATGTGACGACAGTTTATTATTAGACTTTTTTTTAGTGATTTTAAGAAAAATTCTACGTATTTATTGTCAAATTACTTGGTTTATACATCATAATTAAGAAAAATAGTGTCTTTAGCATTGTTCTTTTCTTTAAAGTGATGCGCAAGTGAGACTACCTCGAGCTCTAATAAGGCACAATTGTATGGATAGACAAATTTATAAGGGAAAATAATGAAAATAGTTTAAAATTTTTAATTTTAAATATAAGGATAAAATAAAAGGTAAAGTGAATAGTACAATGATTAACTTTTTAATGTAAAAATATAGTTTTTCGTTGTTAAGTAATACAATGTCTACTATGATTAGAGTTGAATATTTTATTTATTTGAGTTGAACTCAGTCATTTTTGAGTGGACATTTGCATCACTGAACATGCGTATGAGACTCAATTGAGCTAAAAATTTTAAAAACGTCAATTTCTTATCTTGTGACAATTCTAAAACTCAACAAATCAAACTCTAACATTATTTTTTACTTTTTGACGATACACATTCAACTATAGTTGCTCGGTTTGCTCTTTCTTGTCCAGCCATTTGTGATGATGTTTAAAAGTTAATATTGGAGCTTCTTTGTTTCTTAATCATTATTTAAGTGATGTCTCTGTATAATATCAATCACTTTGATGACACTGTTCTAAAAATTCTTGTCTAGCGCTGCCTAGGCGGCCACCGCCCTGATTAATGTCTAGGCGTTCGAAAATTAAGAAATGCCGTCTAGATCGCCTAGGCGCCCGCCTGGCCTGCTCAGACCCGCTTAGGTTGCGACTCAGTTAGGTAGAGAAAATAGATAACTTTGATTTTTTATTTTATTTTTTCAATAAATTGTAAGAGACTTGTTGAATACTTAAATGAACACACATTATATGCTTGTTCCCCATGTTTTTCATTATGCTCCAATTCTTCATAATATATATGTCATTCTATTTTGTAATTTATGATTGAAAAAAAAATATATATATATATATCTATATATATTTGAAGTATAAACACACTTATTTACACGAAATATAATAGATTTACTTAAATCCACCTAGTTTGCCTAGGCGCTAGTCTAGGCCCCGCCTCGCCACCTAGGTGCTAGATCTCAGCCCGACGCCCGACTAGTGCCTAACGTTTTTTAGAACCTTGTTTGATGATCATCATTCATATATGTCATACTAATGAATGCTCCATCATAAGAATGAAATTGTTACGATAGTTGTCAATTTGCTGTAAACACATATTTGATTGAATTTCTACATGAACGATCTTTAATTGATAATTTAAGTTGATGAATCCGAATTTTAACATTTATACTGTTTAAATATGTTATTTGCACATGAGTGAAATAGAAGTACACCCATAAAGTAACGTGGATGCAAGTTTGTCCTTCATTTTAGGGTAATGCTAGGAAAACTAAATTTGTAGATAAAATTTGTAAACTAAATGATGTGTTACCAATATAAATAAGCACGTTTATCAACGTTTAAATAATAATCAAATCATAAGCTTACATATTATTCGGTTTACAAAATTTTGTCTACAAATTTGGTCTCATTAGCATTACCCTTCATTTTGAGTTGCCTTCTTTCTCTATCTCATTCTCCTCTCTTCACCTCTTCCTCTAGTCTTGCTGTCTGCCTCTTCTCTTCCACTCTTCCTATCTTCTCTCTTCTCCAAACCAAACAAAACCAATTGGACTGAGCTAAAACCAAACCAAATCCAAAGACTTTCTAGAAGTAATTCCTAAAAGAAGCGCATATCTACAAACTATTTTTCTACCAAATTTTCTCATAAGAGCTTTTAATTATCTAAAAATACTACTAAACGAATTGTAACACTTTTCTCATTTTCATCACAAGACATAACAATGATCAAACCCGTTTCACCGAGCAAATGCTCGGCCCAAAAGTTCAGTTTGAACCGGCCCGGCCGCAAAGCTGAGCCTAACCCATTAAGCATGTCAAAGCATATACTCTTGTTCTCTTCAATATTTTCATCTACTCAACAATGAGATGCTACACTAAGCAATCAATCACAATTCACAACCATCAACATCTTTGATCACAAATAATCACCCTTTGCCAATCAATTTATCATAAATTAATTGGATCAACGGATAACATTACAAAATGTCCCACATACAAGAAATAGAGGCTTAGCACCCACCCATTTCAAAACCCAACGCGCAAACTGCGGACAAAAAACACTTGACGGGGAGGATAGAAGATGGATCAAGATATCTTGTTCATCCGAGCTGGCGCGATATAGGGGTCCCACTTCAGTGGCAGAGCTAATATTTTAGCTTAGAAGAAGCCCAAAAGCATCAATTTAAAAGTTTTATGATCTTACAAAAATTACTGTTGTGTGATGAGCAACCGTCACCATCATTTGGATATGGTATGGTCTCGTCCTCATCATCCTCTTTGTTAAACTTAAATCATAAGCCTCTCTAACTTTTTTCCTCTCCCATTCCATTGATCCCCAAACTAGAGTCTTCCTCAAAACTCACAAGTAATGGATTGCCTCAACTCTACAGAAACCACCTAAACAAAATTAAAGTAACAATGTCGAATTGGGGTCTTGAGCTTACGAAAAAATATTAAAAATCATATGCATAAAGACTTCTATGCGTATAATAAAATGTCAGAATGGCCCCGAAAACTATCCTGATCTCTTTACGACTTTGCCTCAGCATCACTTTTGCCAGATACTCCTACACAAGCAAAGAGCATGTGGAACTAGAGCTTGCCACGTGGGAGACAACTTTGTCCACATGGCATATCCTGGGAGGACAACTGAGATCGCGGGCTAGAGCAGCCACTTATCAACAGAAATTTCCAACACTAAATTTGTGACGCCAATATCTTCAGAAATTTCCAACACTAAATTTGTGACACCAATATCTTACGTCTCTCTCTCTCTCTCTCTCTGTGTCTCTCTCTGAGCCATGAGTCCGTCAGCTTCAAACGCCATGACCATTGTAGCCACAGCTGCAGCTCTATCTCTGCCAATATCTTTTTGTAGACCGACCAAGCTTAGCACCAGGAAGGTACGGGTTCATACATATCAAATTTAAGAGACTTGCCAGTTGAAATGTGGATTAGTACATGCTAGGAGACTTTTGGAAACGGCTTTAGATAATCAAAAGCGTTTATGATAATATTTGGCAGGACATGTTCAAAGTGTTTATGTATTGTAAAAGTGACTTTTAGGGTTTTTATTAGAAGTTTATCGTGCTTCAAATTCAAACAGCTTATGAAATCATTTTCAAACGAGCTCAGAATCTAGTTTGTTTGATGACTACTGGGTAAAAAAATTGACAACTTTGGATAGGTTTCACCTTTGATTTAAGTCGGCACATGCTAAATTTGAAGGGAAACTTAGTTGGTTTGTTGATTAATTGAGATTATAGATTGAAACTAGTGCTTAGTCCCAAATTAAACAAGATTCAAGCTATGATCTTTAAGCTAATGATAAGCATAGTAAGTTATTATATGGTGGCTTAGGTTGGTGGGATTGTTGTATTTCAGGGTGTGAAAGGAGGATTTCGGGTGTTTGCTGTATTCGGAGAGGAATCAGAGATAGAGAAGAAGAATGTTTGGAGCACACTCTTTGATGTGGAGGATCCGAGATTGAAATTTTCACAATCTAAAGGCAAGTTCTTGGATGCAAATCAAGCATGGGAAGTTGCTAGGTATGATATACAGTACTGCGATTGGCGAGCTCGACAAGATGTGCTTGCAATCATGCTCCTCCATGAAAAGGTCAGAGTGCTAATATGAGTAACTTCTATCTAGATTCTAGACGATATATCAAGTTCTAATCTCAAAATCTTGAAAATTTCTACTGCTGTGCGTTGAGCATTGACGTATACATGGAAGGAAACTATACTTTAGTTGATAATTTTTTATCTTTTTAGTTTTTGAAATGTTCCGTTGGGATTCTTACACTCGGGTATGGCTGCTCAGGTTGTGGACGTTCTAAATCCTCTAGCCCGAGATTATAAGTCTATAGGTACCGTCAAGAAGGAGCTCGCGGAGTTGCAAGAAGAACTACGAGAGGCTCATAGACAGGTGCATAAATTTTTAACGCCTGACGATATAAAATCCTGAGCACTAACAAAGATCAATGAGTTCTAGACTATCCAGTTGATCAGATACTATTGAAATTGAATTACAACAGGTTCATATATCGGAAGCAAGGGTTTCCACAGCGTTAGATAAACTGGCTTACATGGAAGAATTAGTGAATGATAAGCTGTTACAAGATAGAGCAACTACATCTTCCGAGGAAGCATCCCCTTCTCCCAGCACTTCTACGCAATCTCTAGATTCTGTAAAACAGAAGTCGCCTCGAAAAAGCTTGAATGTTTCAGGTCCAGTTCAATCCTACCATCCCCGATTGAAGAATTTTTGGTACCCTGTTGCCTTCACCACTGACCTGAAAGATGATACCATGGTAGGCTAGTTCTTCGAATTTGTCATTCATTACTTGTGCATTAGCTACAATAGCAGTAACAACAACAAAAAACATAGTTATTTCAGTGGCATGGGTTTTCGTCTCTATATTATAGTTTGAACATTATGGAGATTGGATATTATCTATCGGATTACGCTTCTTCTGCGGAGTTAATCTTTTGAAGAACTTGTTCTTTAGTACTAGTTAGTTTCATTGTGGAACAAGAGTCTTATCGATTTTCCTTTTTCAGGTTCCACTTGAT